CCGCCCTGGGAACGCGGCCTCCCTGTCCGCCCTGGGAACGCGGCCTCTCTGTCATTTTAGGAATGCAGCCTCTCTGTCCGCTCTGGAATGCAGCCTCTCTGTCCGCTCTGGGAACGCAGCCTCTCTGTCGCCCTTGGGCTGCCTGCTCCCGCTCTCGCCGCCAGCTCTTGGGACTCACTGCCTGCACGATGCTCTGGGGCTGCTTCCCCATGTGCTTCTGTGGAGCTCTTCCCTGTGCTGCTCTGGGATTTGCAGCCCACACGCTGCTGTAGGCCACACTGCTCTGGATTTGCTGCTGACTCTGATGCTGAGGAGAGAGAAGAAGAAAAGAGGAGAGAAAAAGAAGAGAGAAATGGAGAAAGGAGGAGAAAGACGCAGAGGAGCTCCAAAAGGAGCGTACTACTCTGCCGCCATCTTGCACATCTGAAATTGATCCCATCACTAATTGTTTTTCTGATCCCCTAGTGTAAGATGTACTTATATTCCTAATTACTCATGTCTTCGTGTGTGAAACCAAACTGCCTTGATTGATTGGCTGGTCATTGCTGCCAATCTCTGCTCTTTCTTTGATTAATTTATTCATGGATTCACAAATTATAATTTAGTTGTGCCTAATACTGTCAAGCTAGTTTTGTGAGAAACTGTAGAATTCTTTCTACTTTCTACCAAACCACTTTGGAGATCCATCTTTGCCGACTTGGTTGAATTCTTGCTGCCATTTTGGATAATCTGATAGCAGTGATGAATTTGTGCAGGAGTCCAACTATCCCAATAGTGGCCTGAGCCACTCTACACAAGGCTAAATCCAAACTGTGCCACCAGTATATAAAAGGGAGCCAATACAGTATATTCTGTGTCATGCTGTCTGAGGACTATTGGTTCACTGCCTTGTTCCAATGTAAAGAAGAATCAAGATGGCATCAATGGCAGAGGGAGTAAGAATCCATGGATCAATATTCTTATTAATTCATGGGGTGTGAGCATTCCTGGAAAAGCTAACATTGTTTCCCAGCTGTTATTACCTTGGAGCATAGGGTAAGCTGCCTTTTTGAACCACTGCAGTCCACAGTGCTGCTCAGAAAGGAATTCCAAGTTATTAATCTAGCGACAGCAAAGGAATGGATGATATAGTTTCAGCTGAGGGTGTTGAGTTGCTTTGAGGGGAGCTTGCAAATGGTGGTGTTTCCATGCATCTGCTGGCCTGGTCCTCTAGAAATCATGTTTTTTGGAAAGTGCTATTGAAGGCACTTTAGTGATGATCCAGCTGGCAGTAATCTTGGACAAATCAGATCTCATAGTGAAACCTGGCTTGATAGCTCATAAGTTTTATTTTTGCACTTTGATTACCACGGTGGTCATCACTGAATATAATCAAATGAAGCTGCCAATGTTCTTTTAACAAAATAACATAAATTTATTACACAAAAACTATATGTTTCACAATTTAGAAAGATCTTCAGAAAAACAGCTCAAAGAAAGATGCAATCCTTTCCCAAGCAATATTCTTTACAGCCACTCAATCCCAGTCAAGTATCACTATGATCTAAACTTCTCAATTTTGTACACAAATTAGTCTTTCCAGCCCTTCTCTTGGATTGCTGAAGGAGGTTAAGACTTCTTTCCAGCTCTGATGGCCTGGACATGTCTGTCCAGTTGCAGCAGCCTGGAGATCCTATAAACTGCAAACCTATCCCTATGCTAAGATGATTTTTCTTCTGAATCCTTTGTGAAGGGAGATAGTAGGAACTGCAGATGCTGGAGAATCCGAGACAACAAGGTGCAGGGCTGGATGAACACAGCAGGCCAAGCAGCATCATAGGAGCAGAGAGGCTGACGTTTCGGGCCTAGACCCTTCATCAGAAAAGGGGGAGGGGAAGGGGGTTCCGAAATAAATAGGGAGAGAGTGGGAGGCGGATAGGAGATGGATAGAGGAGAGAATAGGTGGAGAGGAAACAAACAGGTCGAAGAGGCGGGGATGGGGCCAGTAAAGGTGAGTGTAGGTGGGGAGTTAGGGACGGGATAGGTCAGTCCAGGGAGGACGG